CCCAACAAACAATCATCTATTGAAGAAACGACTTGTTGGTCATTTTATTCAACTGCATGCTTAATAGTACTTGAACTATTTTTAATAATAACTTCTGTTCAGGCTTTGTTCACACAAATCTGGAGAATTTATTCAACCACAGCATTGAACTACTGGTGTTGTATAAGGTATGTCGAGAAGCTTTTATTCGACTTATATGAGTTGTAACAGAGTTTATAGATAATTTTTTTGATTATTCAGCGTTTATTAGACATCACTGCTTCCTTAAAACAGTGATGATCTGTATACGCTTGATTCTCAAGTGAAGTAACGTTTAATTAGACATTATTATACATTTATTAAACAATTATTCAACTGTAGGAAAATTAACCCAAAAATAAGAAGGACGGGGGACAGGGAAGGGTGTGTTTCTTAAGTGTATTGTATTTCATTATTTCTGACGTGGCTCGCACCACACAGATATTAGAAAATTTATTATATACTCATACATGTCGTTGTATGGGATTCGAACCATGTGTACCTTCCGATCACCAGCCGCTTGCCTTGTCATCTGAGCTATCCTAGAATTCATCATATGGGCAACTCAATAATCAATAAAAGCTTGCATGAAAGTAAATACCTATCAGCACTCCCGATCGCAACTCTAGCTCCTTCAAGGCCCTATGGGAATGATTAAGTCATTCATCGTTGTTTTAAATGAGACCAATGTTGCCTCTTTACATCTCCAAGTCGAAAGAAAGGACCCAACAAACATTGATAGTTAAATAAGAGCTTATAAAGGCAAAATTATGCTTCTTCAGCTAAAATATAGCTTATTCAGCTTTTAATCAGCTCAAATTGTTTGTTGGGGATGCTCGGTTATATTTCAAACTAGATCAATGCATTCATTATCGTAAGTCATGTGATCGATGATTACTATTTAAATTAATTATGTTCTACACAAATAAAAAAAAGGGTTGAGCTTGGGGATTGAACTCACGACCTTCTAATTGGAAAGCGGAAACGATAACCACTACTCTACACTCATAGAATTCCACACATTTTTATTGACGAATTTCCATGTATAATTCCACATGATTTTCATGTGACCACACATAAACAGAATCCTCCTAGAAGCGCACATGAAATTTATGAGTCAAATGTATAGTATGTGTGGCTTTTATGTGTACACATATTAAGTATGTGCTTGACACATAGATATCATGTGTTGATCACATTGCAAAAAATCATGTGTGGGACACATAAAAACAATCTTTGAAATTTTATCAGTGTACTTATTTCGCCTTGTTGTAAGACTGAATCAGTGTTGTCGAATAATGAATCTAATACGTCGTTTATAAAGCATATACAAATCATGTGATTACAACATGGACGCATAGTGGTATAAGAGTTATTATCCTGACTGTATTCACCTTTATTCAGCAATATTGTAAAGTAATGCAATGAAATCTAATAAAGGAGCTGGAGAACATTTATTAGACGTCTAATAAAGCATGTTATTAAATCAATTGAAAACAGTTGAATGAAAGTGTCAATGTATGTACAAATTACACTTATTCAGTTTGTTATTAGATCGAGCTTCTGGCGTTGAATTGGGAAGACATTTAACAGTTTTACAGCTTTTAATAAGTAAATTAATCAGATTAAATGTGCATCTATCGATCTCAATGAGCTTTTTCAGCACATAATTCGACAACTCTTTTTATTCGGCATTTTACACTATTATACAGCATTTATTCAATATATATGCTTATTTGTGACTCTGAATTGTTTGTTGGGTGGTATAAGAGCTATTTTGCTGAGTGTATTCACCTTTATACAGCAATATTGTAAAGCAATGCAATGAAATCTAATAATGGAGCTAGAAAACATTTATAAGACGTTTAATAAAGCATTTTATTCAATCAATTGAAACCAGTCGAATTAAAGCGACAATGTATGTGCAAATTACACTTATTCAGTTTGTTATTAGATTAAACTTCAGGTTCTCCTTATTCAGAACCAGTCAACGTTTATAAAGCTTTTAATAAGGAAATTAATCATATCAGAGCAAACTGCGGAATAAAGGCGCATCTATCGATCTCAATGAGCTTTTTTCAGCACATAATTCGACATCCTGTTTTATTCAGCAATGTACACTGTTATACAGCATTTATTCAATGCGTATGCTTATTTGTGACTGTGAATTGTTTGTTGGGCAGTGCACAAAATCTGTCGCATTTCCGTTCCCAGGAAATAGTCATTAATTTCCACGAATTCTTCATCGTCTGCGAACCAATGTGCTGTCGTCTGATTGAACGGGAATCAGCTGACTACGCCACCCCTGTAAGTGGAGTCCCAGAGTGATGGTTCCATCACAGACAAACAGACATAACACTTAGAAGAAAATTCTTCAAAAAACATCGTCAAGCGTAGTTTGCATGCGTTCTAGCACCATCTATCATCCACATTCCCAAGCATTGTTTTGCAATCGGAGCATCCCTCGTTCATGCATTTTTTTCACTAGTTGCTTTTCCCTCGTTCTGTCAACGCGTCAGCTGTGTTGAATAAAAACAAAACAGATGGAAGTCAGTGTTGTCGGTTCTACGAAATTTTCCGTAGATCTATAGAATTGATTGAATTCTGCAGAAATACGGATCCGTAGGAAAAATTCACAGAAGCTAAGACTTTTTTTAGGGTTTTGTTTTGTTTGTTTATTGTGCTTTTTCTTTTGCTGGAAACAAGTTTTTAAACGTGGTTGCCCTTTCTAAATGTAGATGTGTAAATGTAATATGTATCAATCAATGATATTCATGGTGAAGTATAGAACATTAATAACTGGTTAAAGTTGATAGAATATTTCAGTCATCAGTCTCGAATTCTATGTACATCGTACAACGTAATGTTAGGAATGGAATCACTAATGTGCAGCAGTTTTGATGTAATATTCAACAATTTTTTTTGTATTCGTCAGATGTGGTATGTGTTTCCAGTGGGATGCTTTGACCACTTATCATTTTCAACAGTTGGTATCTATACTAACTAGACGTGAAAAAGAACTGGCATCACTGATAAGTTTGAAATGTGGTGGCTTGCTCAATGCTTCAGTGGCGCCACCATGACAAATGCAAGCACATTCCCATCTAGAACATTATTTGCGATGAATGTGAGTGTGAGTGTTATGTCTGTTTGTCTGTGGTTCCATGATCGTATTATGTTCGATTCTCCATTAGCCTGCAACTTGGAGAGATTTGCTGCTGGGGGAACGTCCAGTACCGTTTTTATCATGAAAAACCGAAGTCGAAATCGATCAGAGCTATCGAAAACAAAAATCTTGGCAAAAATGATGACAAACAAAAAGCTGTAGTAAACATAAACAACAACGGTGAAATTTCATTGAGTGTATGCGTTAAAGTTACACTGTTATTTTTTTTACTTTGAAGCTTTCCGCTTGACAGCTAATATCATTAATATTTATACTAAAAATTATAATAACTACCAATTTGAGCAATTTTTACACCAAATATTACTTCAGATCAAGTTGTACTTCCTCTAGAGTACTACACAATGTTTGTTTTGATTCGCCTTGAAAGTTTGACATATAAAATGAGGGGTTCGTGGATTTTCCTATGTTTCGAGGGGTGCATCGATTAGCTTGGGACCGAAGATAGTACCAGAGCTGAGCCAAAAAGTCGAGCACGTTTCTTCGGAACCTACTACACGAAACGAAAATCAACTATTTTATTCATGTGTTTCACTTATACATTTTTGCCAAAACATCAGCCTTATACATTCCATAAGACAAACCACATAGGTCCTATAAGAATTCATAAAAGGTATGTGTGACCGCTTATACATTTCATCTGACACATGATCTTCAAATACTTTTTGCAAGGCGTCTTATACATTTTATTAATAATCAGCAATAGAAATTTGCCAAAAGGTATAAGGAGATTTCTATCTGTGTAGTCTTAGAGTAACCTCTATGACAGGACTGTTAGGAGCAGCCGTACCAGTCGTTGCCATTTGCGGCACTATTTTACTTACGCACAGCGTTTCCATTTTAACTTAATCACTCCTCTCCACACCGGTCATCATTGCTATCAGAGTCATACACACTTAATCTAGCTCGGTAAAATCTCCAACAGCCGATTACCTCGACATTTATTTTTGCATGATATCTCTGAAAAATATCGGTTTGTTAGCTGATATATCAGCAAAATGTTATTTGTTAGCTGAGCCTCGGCAATTGTTTTACTGAATCTCAGCAAAATAAATTGCAGAATTACTCGGCTGTTGGAATCTCGGCGAAAAAAATTAAGTGTGTAATTTAAGTTACCACAACGGTAAAACAAACATTTGACGTTTATTCAAAATAGCAACCGGGATGCTAAATTTATGAACTCACTACTTCCCAAGGTGCGGATTGCTATTTCCCCCACCTGAATAGCAACCCCCGGTACGCAAGTAGCGTTATGGCAGAGGTTGGTAAATGTGCCTTATTTACTCATTGGTACGGTTGCTCTAACGGAGTAGTTAATTTTAAGTACTTTCTATCTCGGTTTTGGGTTATTTTGTTTCTCCGTGTATGACTAACATCGACTCTGATCTTTTTGTGCAACCCTGCAGTCATCAATTTAGAATTAAGCGCCAACAGTTCATTAGGGCGAAACAGTTTTAATAAACAATGATTTTAATCGCCAATTGCTCGCAATCATAAGCTTCATTCTGTTAATAAACTATTTCAGCTGGTATAAGAAACATAATTCTACATGAAAAAGACAATATTTTGCATGTCTGAGCTTTTATTCGAGAGAAATCGACGGCTAAAGCCTAACCCTAAGGTCATTGTTTAAAAAAACGATTTTGCCCTTTTGAAATATTTGATCCGATTTATTCTAAGCAATTTCGAAACAAACTTTTGACAGGTAAACATAAACAAACATTTCCGCATGTTCGGTGAATACTGTGAATATTAAAATTTAATATTCGTTTGGTCGTTTTTGTGTAATATTTCGATTATAAAGACTGTTTTCCCCAAAATTTGAACCTAGTTTTACCGCCCGAAATATGAAAATCAAAAACCGCTACACTTCCGTAGCTTGCAACCGTTCCCCGGAAGCGCTAGACTGGGGCAAGGATGGCTTAATCTACTACGCTGCTTGCCACTCGATTGCGGTTTTCGATCCGAAGGTAAGTTGTTACAACATTCTAATATTAATTATTCGAGCTATAGACAATTGATTATCATTGGATTTTAGTTTTACGGATCGGCAAAAATTATCCGCTCACTCAGCGGCCACAAAGCGCGGGTGAATACGGTTAAGAAGCTACAGAATGTGCCCTCCACGGATGGAGTTGATTTGGCGTCCGGTTCGGATGATGCAACTTGCATCCTGTGGAGTACTCAGAATTCGTCGAGTGCTCTTCGGTTCACGCTGAAGGGTCATACTAAAGGCGTAACCCAGGTGGATGCGTTCTATGTGGGGGATAATTTGCTGGTGGCCACCGGATCAGCTGATAGTAGTATTAAACTGTGGAAGCAGACCGGAGGGGAATTCGTTTGCTTCCAAACTATTGATCTTGAGACGGGATATTGCTTTGCCCTGAAGTTTTTCCAGCTACCTGTTTCCGGATGTGTAATGCTAGCCTACGCAACGGATAACGATTTGATCCATTTGTATGCCGCGTCCGATGAGGAGTATGTTCTGGTAGACAAGTTGAAGGGCCATACGGATTGGGTTCGCGGGTTGGACTGTGTGACAGATGTTGAAGGTGAGGATCTGTTGCTGGTTAGTGCATCCCAGGATAGCTTCGTTCGTTTGTGGAGGATTTCGCAGAGGGAGCAGCTTCAGGCGAAGAGATCGTTTGAGGAGTTCTCCATCGATGAGGACATTGTTTTGGAAGAGAGGATTTTCAGCGTTACGGTTGATCGAAAGCAGTTTCACTATGCTCTGGCTTTGGAATCGGTGCTGCAAGGTCACGAAGGATGGGTCTACGGAGTGCATTTCAACAAGTCGGAGGATAAGTTGAATTTACTATCGAGCTCGATCGACAAGACTCTAACGATTTGGACGCCTTCCGAGTCGGGAGTTTGGCTCGAAAGTGTTCGTGTAGGGGAAGTCGGTGGAGCTTCGCTTGGGTTCTATGGGGGAAAATTTTCTCCCGATGGTAGATCCATCGTCGGTCACGGTTTCCTAGGAAGTGTCCATCTTTGGCATCAAGATGCGGAAAATTGCGGCATTTGGAAACCGGGAACGATCATTGGAGGGCACTTCGAAGCTGTTCGAGATCTGGCGTGGGATCCTGCTGGAAGATTCGTAGTGACCGTTTCGGTGGATCAGACTACACGGATTCATGGTGCGTGGCTGAGATCGGCGGCTAGGGAAGGGAATAACGATGCTCTAACTTGGCATGAAATTGCCCGGCCACAAGTTCATGGCTACGATATGCAGTGTCTGTGCATGTTGTCTCGGTATCGATTTGCCAGTGGAGCGGAGGAAAAAATCGTGAGGATATTCCAAGCTCCGGCAAATTTTGTGGAAAATCTGCGACAGCTTTCCGAACTTGGAGACGATGCGGAAGGAGAGGACATTCTAAAGAGTATGTACTTTTATTGGTAGGCTATAGGAATCCTACAACGAATTAATATCGGTTTATATGGTTTCAGCCACCCCCAAGGGCGCTTCAGTTCCCTCACTGGGCTTATCCAACAAAGCCGTATACAGTGTTGAAGAGACAGAAACCGCTAGTAAGCACGTGAAGGACGTGTACCCGGAACACTATTTCATTCCCACCAGACTGGAATCGCCTCCCACGGAAGAAACACTGATGCAAAACACCCTTTGGCCCGAGATGCAAAAACTTTACGGTCATGGTTACGAAATCTACGCTCTGGCTTCTACCCCCGGCGGTCGCTTCATCGCCTCTGCTAGTAGAGCAACGTCTCTGGAGCATGCCAAAATTCTTATCTGGAATACGTCGACTTGGAAGATTGTCCAGCAACTGCAAGCTCACCAGCTCACGATCACCCAGTTAGCTTTCTCTCCGGACAGCAAATCCCTGCTGGCAGTATCCCGCGATCGGACTCTGTCCGTGTTTGAGAACAAGGAAACGGCGGAAAACTGCAACTTCCAGCTGGTTACCCACACGGATAAACAAACCAGTGTCCACGCGCGGATTATTTGGTGCTGTGATTGGTCTCACGATTCGATGCACTTTGTTAGCGGATCACGGGACGGGAAGGTGGTTATCTGGGAACAGAAAATAGAAACGGGACAGTACGGAGCAGCAGGTGTGCTCGAATTGAAGGGAGAATCTGTGACGGCAGTGGCGTTTGCCAGGAGGAACATTGAACAGGATCGCTACATGGTGGCCGTTGGTTTAGAGAAAGGTGTGATACACTTATATGCGGTTCGGCAGCAGGACTGGAAGTTGCTGGCTACGATTGACGAGTCGTAAGTTCAATTTGTTTGAGTAAGGAATTAAGGGTAATACTGATTTTTGTTTTTGCCTTGCAGATGTGGACATCATCTAACGGTGAAGCGTCTAGCATTTAACCCGTCGAGTGACGAACTGCAGTTGGCCAGTTGTGGTGAGGATAATTTCGTTAGAGTTTATGATATATGTTAAAGGTACATTCACAAGTCCATAAAGAGTATGATTTGACTCATCCGATAATCCTTAATCGCAAACTAAGCTATTATGACTTAAGAAGTTGTCTACTGGAGCCTATGGGCAAATTGTAGCAACATTTTGCAAGAGATGTAACTTATTTAATCCTATACTTCCCATGGTAGCACAGGTGATTGGCGATTTTGTGGTCCGTTTCATGTTTGTTGATCTACCATTAAATAGTCAGTTCTTATTTAAGGTTAAAGGGGACATATTTTATTTTCAAAAAATCATTGCCTACTTGGAACACATTTTCATTGACATAGTTTAAACGAAAAAACTGCTTTTGAATTTCCAAAAACCAATGATGTCCCCTTTCCCTTTAAGCTTCTCTGTATGCTGATTATTCTTGTCCATATGTATTCTTGAGAATTCAACAGACCAACGATTGCAAGCCAATTAAAATACTTTTTTTTATGGATTCGATAATTTTAGACTGTTTGGAACATCTTTTGTTCTAGCACTTTTTTCAAAAACACATTTTAGCATCTCAAAACCATGAAAAAAATTCTGGGAAGGCATGAGCATGAGCATGATTGACCGCCCACGGGAAGGAATGTGTTGACGTGACACTCGCTTTGATGGAACAATGAAAAACCTCCTGGGAAGGAAAGGGTTAAAGGTTATAATAAAAGTAATGACAGGGAAAAATCAAACACCCAGGAGCTTCAAATCTCAAACTTGGCAAAGCTTATCCACAGCACAACGGTTACAATCCGGCTGTGCAAAGAAGAACCACGATTGCTCACAGATTTGAAAAATCCCAAAATAATGTGTAATGAGGCTATTTTAATTGGAGCTAAAGGGTGGAACGGTCAAAAATTGTCAATCATGATTAAATGCACACTGATTATGTTATATATTTTTTTAAGTTCAATGACTACTATTTGATGCTGAAAGCAGGGCTGGTAGCGAGTCACTTTTTATTGACTTGGTCACTTTTTCAAGCCAGTCACTAAAAAGTCTCTTTTTTTAAGGCCAAGTAACTAAAGTCACTTTTTCTAGTAATAAGTCACTATTTTAATTTTTTTTAAACGTAATAAATTCACGACTGATCATTCTTCTGAATAGGCCTACATTTTGTTCTAGTTTTTGAACAATTCGAAGTTGACGACCTTGTATTTTTTACGTTTAATCGTACTTCTCTATCTACAGGGTGTCCACTCATTTGGCTAAATAAAGTTCTCTGAGTTTTCCAGATTTTTACATAACTTTGGCGGATAATTTTTAGGTTTATAATAATAATGCTATTTATGAAATGCGTTAAAAATATTCAAAGTGTTTTTTATGTTACTTCATACGCGAAGTTAACGATTTTCAGAGTTGGTTGGAAATGCTAACATGAAGCTTTAGTGTGATGATTTATTAGCCTAGAGAATGATCTTTAGAAGAATGTAGGTGGATAGTTCCGTTAGAGTACGGCAGTATGAAAATTGAATAGAAGTTGAAAATGAGCGAAGGGCCATTAAAGCGACAGTTTTCAAGATGACGCACATTTTTGCCTAGCCCGTACGATGTACGCGGGGACTTGAAGTATGTCTCCAAGTCCACAGGCAAAAATGTGCGTCCCTCTTGTTGCTCATAAACTGACTGCGGCTGTGGAATAGTTCTAGCGACGTTTTCATCACTACCTAAAGCCCCACGTCGCGAGAGCATTTCCAGTCGATGGTGTGTTATAATGCAGTTCTTCTTTACCCAACTATTGTGTTGCTCCTCTCGTCATGACCAACGTGATCATCTCAGAGAGAAAGCAGTAGGGTGGTTGTTGCGTGCTGTACCATCATCAGCATTGTTGACGGCTACTCCCGCCTTGAGTTGTTACATTCAAAGTGTTTTTTATGTTACTTCATACGCGAAGTTAACGATTTTCAGAGTTGGTTGGAAATGCTAACATGAAGCTTTAGTGTGATGATTTATTAGCTAGAGAATGATCTTTAGAAGAATGTAGGTGGATAGTTCCGTTAGAGTACGGCAGTATGAAAATTGAATAGAAGTTGAAAATGAGCGAAGGGCCATTAAAGCGACAGTTTTCAAGATGACGCACACGCTAGAACTATTCCACAGCCGCAGTCAGTTTATGAGCAACAAGAGGGACGCACATTTTTGCCTGTGGACTTGGAGACATACTTCAAGTCCCCGCGTACATCGTACGGGCTAGGCAAAAATGTGCGTCATCTTGAAAACTGTCGCTTTAATGGCCCTTCGCTCATTTTCAACTTCTATTCAATTTTCATACTGCCGTACTCTAACGGAACTATCCACCTACATTCTTCTAAAGATCATTCTCTAGCTAATAAATCATCACACTAAAGCTTCATGTTAGCATTTCCAACCAACGTTAAAAATATGTTTTTAACGCAGACATTTTCAAGACATGACAATCAATTTTAAAGAAACAGATTTACTATCAAATCCATTAAATGTTGAAGTTGAACGCCTTCTTCATGTTAGTAAGTCTAAAGTGGACCCTACACGATTGCTTTTATTGACAATAATCGTATTGTCAATACATTCTACATTGACGTCAATACATCGAGATTGACAATATTTCTGAATTCACATCATCAATATTATTGTCAATAATTCTCCTTCGCGTCAATATATTGATGCGTGTGAGGTTTGCTTAAGATCACAACATTTTTAATGTCTTGACGTTTCGTACTAACAAAAATGTGGAAACTTGAATGAAGTTCTATTGATCTCAGAAAAGCTTGATCTAGAGATCTTTGGGGAATTCCAGAGATCTTAAGAAGTAGTCCCCGAAACTTTAGCCCAGACTATTGAATTGGTTTAAAAATTTATAAGCGTGAGTTTAGACAAATCCAAGATAGTTCCATGATGTGCTGAAATAAAATCGAGAACCCATAGGATGTTCCGAAAGATTCAGTACAGCGACCTTAAAAAATTTATGAAAGCTTCATAAATATTTCAGAAACTTCACAGAAATCCAGAGAATTCCAGGGAAAATTAAAAGTGCGAGAATTCCATTTATTTTAAAGCAGATCAGAGAATTAAAGGGCAGTTCTAAAAATTTCAAGGAAATTGCAGAATCCGGAATTTCCGGAAAATTTCTGGAACGCAATAAAATTTATAGGAACATCCGGAAAATGTGAGAGTCTATCACGGGTGTTATATCACGGAAACTTCAAGATCTAAAAAAATCGAAAATTTAGCTATGTTGATTTGAGAACATCAACGAAGTTCCATTAATAAAAAAAAAAGGTGAGAACTTTTAGCAAGCATCGATATTTTCAAGAATTTCCAGAGCACTTCTAAGAAATTTAGATATTTTTAGATTGTGTCATTATATTCAGTGAAGTTCCGAGTACTTCGAGGACGATCAGATGACATCAGAAAAATCACTTTAACTTAAGGAAATTTGCCGCGACTTACAAGAAGTTCCTTAGAATTATGGGATATTCTGAGAATTCTATGATTGATCCGAAAACTTTAGAAGCTTCAGGGAATTATAAATATATGTATCAGAAAATTTACCAGAACATTTGATCAATTTAGAGAAATTAAGGTAAGCATAGAAAACTTCTGGAATGTTCAGGATTTCCAGGGAAAATTAGTGATTTAAGGCAAAGTTCCGTGAGCGTTTATTAACTTTATAAAACGTAAGGAAAATTGTACAACTTAAAGGCAATTAAATCAATTCCAGTAAAATGGGGAGTCCTTTGGAAAAAATACTAAGATATCCAGGACAGCCTACAGAGTTTTAAGGACATTGAGAAATATTTTGGGCTCTCTAGACTATTGAAGAAGTTATGAATTAGTTTCGATAATTTGAACTTCAGACAAATCTTGAGAACTTCTGACAAATCTTGAGAACTTCTGTGAAAATCATAGAATTATTTTAATTATTTAGCTGCGGAAGCTTAAAGGAGTTCCTGAAATTTTAGAATATCTTCGAAAACTTCACAGAAGTACAGAGATCTCCAGAAACATTTCGAGAACTTCATAAAAATCTATGGAACTTAAGGGAAGATCCGAGAACTTCAGGAATTTTTATAGACATTACGGGAGCGTCTCAAATAAGTTTAGTAAAGCTCCAAAAACAAAGGGGAGTAGAGTTCCATTGGTTTCACTAAATTAGCGGGAAGTTTCAAGATGTTCCCAGATTTTCAGAGAACTTTTATTATTGAGGTTTTCACATAAGTCCAGAAGTTCACGCAAACTTAAACATTTTTAGAAAAGTTCAATTAAATTCATGGTAGTACAACAAGCCGCAACAAGCTTCATGATAACTGCAAACACTTAAGAGAAGTTTTGAGAGTTCCGAGAAAGATATCGATCTCGCTAATAAATCACTAAACAACAACAAAACTTCAAGAAAGAACAGATATCCTCACAGCAGAGATATTCCAGAGCAGGGAAATTTCAGAAATTTTGAAAAAGTTTTCAGAAATTTAATTTGAATTTTTAACACTTTAACAGATTCATGATCGTTAGGCAAATTGTGGAAACTTCAGGAAGTCCGAAAAAGTTTAGAGAAGTTAAAAAATGATGAGAAGTATTGCGAGCAACATGCTAGTTTCCTCGTCGCAGTGAAGATTTTGACAATCTATTGTAAGCTCCTTTTTAAAATGTAGATTATGAAAAATCCTATTAAAATCAGTTTTATTCAGAATAATACCACAGACAAACAGACATAACTCTTAGAAGCAAATTCTTCAAAAAATATCGTCAAGCGTATTTTGCATGCACACTAGCACCATAGAGGTAACTCTAAGACAAGTAGGTCCAGAAGAAACGTGCTCATCTTTTTGGCTCAGCTCTGGTACTATCTTCGGTCCCAAGCTAATCGATTCACCCCTCGAAACATAGGAAAATCCAATCACCTCTCATTTTATCTGCCAAGCTTTCATTGTGTAGTACTGGAATTTATACTAGAATGGGGTGCGTTGATCGATTTGCTTGGGACCAATAGGCTAGTCAAGTAGTCAGCCAATTTAAAATCGTTAGTTTCGTATTGATTGTTGCTAGCACCCTCTATCATGCACATTCCCAAGCATTGATTTGCAACCGGAGCATCCCTCATTAATGCAATTTTTTTTACTAGTCGCTTTTCCCTCGTTCTGTCAACACGTCAGCTGTTTTAAATAAACACAAAACAGATGCTGGTTCTAAATACGGATCCGTTGGAGATATTCACAGAAGCGCCGTCTTTTCTAGAGATGTTTTGTTTGTATAGTGTGTTTTTATTTAGCTGGAAACAAGTTTTTAAACGTGTTAATGCATTTCTTTTTGTTTATTTGTCGTCAATCAGTGTAGACCGTTTAACAATTGTTGTCTTAAGAGCTATTTTTACAATTTTGTCTTTGTTTATATATTTTTTTTATAATATGTCTTGAGAACAAGTTAAAACATTACTTCTAGCTGACGTTATGCGACGAATTAAAATATTGCTTTAATTTGGTTTTTGTCATTGTAAAGTCAATGTTATCGCAGTGCTTATTATATGTATCCATCATTTGGTTCAAGGGTCCAAATTTGGCATAATTCGTACGATGACGATTTGTAGCAAATATATTTCTATTTCGTAAATGCCTAGATGATGTATATAAATTTAAGGATGACAATAGTTCTATAGAATCAATGCGATGTGATACGATATCGTTTACGAAAGAAATCATAGCAAATTCACGACGCTCTTTTAATGTTTGGATATTTATGAGCATACACCGAGCTGTGTAAGATGGCAGAGGAATACAGTCCAACCTAACTTGCGGAGTGCATACAATAGAAACTGCTTTTGAACGGACTCTATTCTTTCTTCGTGTGTGATTGAAATAGGAGACCAAACTATGTTGTAATATTCTAATATCGACCTTACATAAGCAATGTACAATGTTTTTATCGTATAAGGATCGTGAAAGTTATAGCAGAAACGTTTTATGAAACCAAGCATGTTGTTAGCTCTGTTAATAATGATCGGTGAAAGTAAGTTTTTAGTCCAAAATAACACCTAGATCCCTGACTTTATCACACTTTTCTACGATATGGTTTCCTAAAGTGATTGTTATATCGGGTAGGATTCGTTTTCTACTAATAGTAATTGAGTTACATTGTTTTATATTTAATTGTAGCAGGCTTTTTTGGCACCAAGTATGGAATATCTGTATTTCCTCTTTGAATGTGATGATGTCTTTGGCATCTTTTATTCCCAAAAAAAGTTTAATGTCGTCAGCATAGATTAAAACTTTCAATTTCTTAATAATGAAAGATATGTCATTGACGAAGAAAATAAATAAAAGCGGTCCTAAATGGTAGCCTTGAGGAACTCCAGAAGTGACATCAACGGGATTTGATGTCTTTCCTTTGTATTTTACTATTTGATGGCGGTCAGTTAAATATGATTCAAGCCACTTGAGGAATGCGTAATGAATTCCCATTTTTTGAAGTTTAAAAAGAAGCATGGGTATGTCAATTCAATCAAACGCTTTGCTGAAATCTGTATACAACACTTCTACATGGTTTCCGTTATCCATTGCATTCAAGGAATAATTAATTAATTCGAGCAAATTCGTAGTTGTTGAACGGCCTTTAAAGAAGCCATGTTGCATAGTAGTTATTCTGTTTTTAATTTGAAGAAAGAGTTTTTCATTCACAATCGCCTCGAAAAGTTCCGGAATGCAAGAGATAATAGTTATACCACGATAATTACGTATGTCGGATTTTTGCCCGATTTAAAGATAGGCACTAAAAACGAGTTTTTCCATATTTTAGGGAAGTTTCCGGATTCCAGTGACATATTGAAAATCCAAAATAATGGAGCAGTAAGTTCAGTTGCTAAAGCTTTCATAAAAACTGGTGGAGCACCGTCAGGGCCAGGACCTGTAGATGCATCTAAATTGTTTAAACCCTTTAAGATATCATGAACCTTGATTTGACTTACGCTGATGTCACTTGAAAATTCTGGATAAGATTCAAAATATTCACGGTCACGGTCCTCTTCTGAAAACTTAGCATAGATTTCTTGGAAGAAATTTGCAAACAAATTGCATATATCATCCGAGTTCTCACCTATCCTATCGTCCAAATGCATCTTTGCGGGAAAATTATCAGATTTTAATTTGGTTTTCACATAATTGAAGAATTTCCAGTTTTTAAATTATACTCCTATTCACGGCCAAATTTAACTGATCGCAAATTTCTAGAAAGTATGCCAAAGTTTCTTCACTATTATATTTTTTATAAAATTTGTGCGCTTTTTGCTTTTGATTTTTTTAATTTTTCAGTTCCCTGTTGTACCAAACCGGATGTTTTGCATGACTCTGACGTCTTCTTCTTTTAGTTGGCACTTCTTCAAGCATAATTTCAAGCAACACATTGTAGAATACGTCAACTGCGCATTCAACATTTCCTGCAGTTCTTAATATTGCTTGCCAATCGACAATGTTCAATCTATTTCTAATGTTATCTGTTAATGTTATTTGCTGAATTGTAATCGAAGATTTCATCAAATTCGCAGTCGTTGGTTCTTTCATTTATGTGAACGAATAAAGAATATTCTATTACTGTGTGAAACATTTCATTTCTCCATATGGGACTTAATGATTCAGTCACACAGAAAAAAGTATTTGTTAATAAAAAGGTCTAAATAACAATTTTGTTGATTTTTCACATGGTTAATTTGATTAAGTCCTAAATTTGCAATTTTGTCAAAAATGAAATGGAGTGTTTCATTTTCCCCAACGACTGGAAGTAAGATGCTTTCATTGTCCATATCTGAAATAAAGTCAACATTGCGTTGGTTAAAGTCCCCATATATATGAACTTTTACTTCAGGGGGTAAACTAGACAAAATTTCTTCCGCTTTTCCAAAAAACTTATCATACGTGACCTTATGAGCATTGTTCGGAGGAAAGTATACCGAAGCAAAGACATGAGTTTCATCTGCTACTTGCGCTTTTACCCATACATGTTCGAATTCTTTAAATTTAGTAGCCATAATTAATCATGTTTTGTTGTTTTTTACATCATCGACATCCAGAGGGCTAGTCACTTCGAATGTATGGGAATGGTAGGAAACCATTTGGAAATGCATGAAAATTTTCAGTTTTAATTCATTATCGTCTTTATGGGCAGTTTTAGGTGCACAAAAATTGCACGAGTACATTACTATGGTGATAAGGTAAACACTCGTTTATTTATTTCCTTCTGTGAAAGCATGTTTAGTCACAAATCGTGGATTTTCTGATATTCTCCATACTGCAAAAATGATTTTCCTACCACTGAAGGGGCGACATCTCTCGGATCTTCAGTATAGCTACTACTCAAATCATATAATTAATTGGCGTTGACGGCACCGTCGAAAAATTTGCTCTTCCAGCAAATATAGACAGTTTCTTATGGGAATTTTCGGTGGAGTGAAAGGATAGTACAAAAACAGCCATGTTTCACGCACAGTCTGACGTTTGCTTACGGATTTTCTCATAGGAGTAAAGAGCTACAGAGTCGCCGTCAACGCCAATGATTTCTGAATTCAATTGGGTCGAAATCGCTATTAATACTCCACCTCCCGATTTTTTTTCCAGACCATTGAAAATTGCGGTCGTCTCTATAAACGTTATAATTGTTACCAAAAACTTCTTCACTTCTCACACTATCATCCCAACTTATTTCATTAGCCATTATTACAGAGTAAGTAGAACTTAATATATTTTTGTTAATTTCATTCATTTTACCGGCGCTTCTCATGCGGTTAACATTTTGGCAATATACCAAAATTTCTGTACTGGTCTGAAGATTAGGTGAAGAAGCTGATGGTAACCTGTAACCTGTCATTCATAAAACTATTACCACAGACACACAGACATAACGCATTGAATATTTTTCACTGTAATAGCGCCATCTACATATCACCAGTTACTCCATTTTATTCTAACCAAAATCCGCTGAGGGTCACAAACCGGTGGTTCACCCTGTGCCTTGATGTGTCAAAAATTTAAATCCTCTCCCTCTCATTTTATGCTGGCAGCTTTTATGCTCCCCGCCCGACGCAGCAGCAACGCAAGCGAGAAAAGGCAAGCGAACGATGCGACGATCAGTCATCGTCGGTGAATCGAAATGCAAACTGCTTCTGCCGTTGCTGCTCGTCATCATCGTCACCGCCGCCTCGTCAGAAAAAATTACTGCTTCATCAGCTCCAACTGTGTTGTTCCGCGGAGTGGCCCTCGATTCTAATCGGAAGGTGGACAAAATACTATCGGTTTCTGGAGTAGCGATACGGAAGCGGGTTTGAGTAGTTTGGGTGGTGATCGCGTCGCGTAATTCCAATTTTTCCTTCCCCGAAAAAATCGTACATGGTATCGTCTTCATCGACGTCGTCGTCGTCGTCCCTCTTGTCGTTCGGTCGGGTGGTGTTGTGAGTGAAAGAGCAGGACGCAGTCAGCGGCCAGTGCAGATGCTAGAGCGAGAGAGTGCATTAAAAAAATTGTCCGTAGTGGTTGTTAAAAATTTCTGCTGATGGTGTGTGGTGAAGAAAAGTGAGGAAAAAAAAACGGGAGAAAGTGCTGCTTTTGGCTGGTTTTTGCAGTGTTCGGAGAAGAAGCGTCAAAGTTTTGCATGTAATTTTGCATAAAATCCTACGGATTGGATAGTGGTTCCCTACTCCCGACTGGATTACGACGGAATACGCTTGCACCAAGCGGGGGATTCCAACTGGAAAACGGAAAGGATTGTCGCTCCATCAACTTCTGCCTCTTCGGTTCGAGGTTCGAGTGGTGTGGTGTTGGCCGATTTTTGCTGCCTGGTTCTTGTGTATGTGTTAAGTGGGTAAGATTTTTGTACACCTCTATCGTCATTCGCGGTGCAAAAGGAAGGTTTTATTGTTGCTGTGTAAGCTGGCTGAGAGATAAAACTGAACGTACTGCACATTGATGGTTATGTAAGAAGAATCCGCAGATTTATTGCGCTGTCTCACCGGGAGCAGCAGATTTCCCCGTGGGATCAAAAAGCTACATTTTTAGATGCGACGGGATTTTCTGGGGGGTTGCTGCATTCCTTACCGTTGCTGTCATATTTTACTTGGTTTGTATGCTGTATTCCTCCTGTCAAAGCCCGATCGTGCGATTGTGTTGGTGATGCAGGGTGTCCAGAATTTCTGATTTTATTTGTGATAGCATTAAAATTGAAAACATCTACAATATCCATTAGAGAGGGTCAAGTTTGTATGGCAGCCTTAATCAAATTTGTATGGTTATATTGCTTAACGACGTGTTCGGGATATCATCCAAACCATTTGCGGATTAGTTTAATCTTATGCGTTATCGTTTGTTTATGGTATTAATTTTATTAGGGAGATCACAACCCCTGGTCCCAACTGCGCTTTCGATTTGTATTTAAGTCCCCAAAACTGTGCCAAATTTGAACGAATTTGGTTGCTATCTGAATTTGCGGGAGAACTTGTATGAGAAACGGAAAACAGACTATTCATTAGCGTGTCAAAAATACACACATTACACAATATTGTCCATACCTGAGATTGGAAAAAGTAAACAGAACAAATTAGTAAAAAAAAAAAAAATCGCGAATCGATTTGATTTCCAGGGTGTTTATCCATCCCGAAATTCAGATTTGCCGGGAAAAATGCGGGAAAATCCAAATCGCACCGTGAAATATCATATAAACTCATCCCAAGAAACAATTTCGGTTTTATCATAGTCTTGTAGGCCTTAATTTGATCTTGACGAATCTTTTAAACCTTTATAAACTTGCAATGTTACTTGTAATCAATCAACGTTATTCACATACACCATTATATGCTCTTGTTTACACATCTGTTTACAACTTTCATATTAACTGTGGTAAAGTATAAAGAAATCCTCAAAATTATTGCACATTCTTCTCTCACTCGCAATCTGTTGTTCGTGCACGGGGCAAACAGTGATTTTGCCGTTATTCCCACCACGATAGCTTACCGAGTAAATTTTTAGAATTTCTTTTTGTTTGACTAAGATCTGAACTCCAGGCATTTTGAAAAAAAACCATAAGAAGGTTTACCCATTCTATCATAAAGTCGAATCATCGCAAACCTACTTTGTTGAGTCTGCAGAATTTCAAGATCAGATATCTGGGATGATTTGGATAATCCAACAATTGTTTTTAACACAATTTATAATTTTAAATGAATGGCTTATAGAACTTCAAGATCTAAACTCCGAGAAGATGTGATGACGCGTTTCTCCTGCTCAGGTTTAGGGTCATTTTTTTCAGCGAGACTATTTTATACGAATTCACGATTCCATGAGATTTTGGAGATCTAAATCATCAACATGGTAATGTAAATCTCATCTCATATTTTGTTCTACAAAGTAGACTGCTCAAAAAATTATATTTTTATCTCTACGGTTATTATTGAACGCCTTCTTTGTTTAAGTCAGAGGTGATATTTGAGGTGGTAAATGTACAAATGTCTTGTAGTTTTTTTCCCCATAAGTCATAACATTTTCATGCCATTTATTACTACTGAGTTTTACTACTTTAAAATGCATTAATTACCACAAATACAGTTGCTTTTATTTTAACTCTGACGCACCGGCTTTGTGTATTGCATGCCCCTTGTTTTTCGGTAGTATTCGCTCAAAAAATTATCACATACCTGGAAAATTCAACTTAATTTCACATATCAAGAGCCACATGTGAAAAGGGCATACAAGCTTTTTGTAAACAGACCTTTGTAGGCCTTTCTCTGGACAACCGAGGGTCGTCCACGCAAACCAACAACATCATCGGGAAGGGTAAAGATTCCCCTACCCGATGATGATGATGGTTTGCGTTGGTGTCATATGAGTGGCGAGAAAATGGCATAAGATGGTTTGTTTACAAAAAGCTTGTATGCCCTTTTCACATGTTGTTCTTGATATAGGGAGCTCCAGGCGAATTTAAAGGAAGTAGTTTTTAGGTTTTTCTGAGGAGACAGTCATAGCGAGTGTGAGAAGGATAAAAAAAGGTGTCCAATTGTAATGAACATTCTAAATAAGAAAATTCCAAGTGAAGTTCAAGGAGAGTTCCAAGGGAATTTTATGAAGAATTCCAAAGGAGTTGAACTTTAAGGGTAATCGCAAAGGGATTCTGAGGAGCGTATCACGGAAATTCCGAGGATCATTCCAAAGGCATTCCTGAAAGCGTTTTTAGAGAATTCCGAGAAAAATACAAATAATATGGACGATTTCAGAAGAATTGAGCGGAGAACTCCAACATAATTCGAAGCAGTGTCAATTTTTATCATTTACCATCGCACGCAAGGAGTAGCGCTTCAACCCAGTGTTGATGAATAGCGTTTGATCGCTGTCACGTACGAGCGAAATGAACAAATGAGTTCATTATAGATCAACGACCACGCGTTTGTTGATTTTCACTTCGCGTCACTTTTCAAACAGATCAATCTACATTGGTCGATTCTCTTCATCGACTCTCTCTTTCGTAAATAACTCGGCTACAAAACGTTTCCCGTCGTCTTAGTCGTTCTAGATGCTAGATTGTTGCTTCTACCATCGAATTGCGTATCGAAAATATCTGGAAATATCATAACACGGCTGGGGCGATCAAAAGAGAGAGTAGATAAAGAAAATCTATCAATATAGATAGGACCTATCGAAAAGTGACACGAGAAATTAATTTTGGGCAAAATTATTATTTTGAATATTGTCTACCCTAGAGCCTAAAACTTCGATATTACCATCAATTATTTTCCATCGATCTGTTTGTAAAAACTAACAACAAGTTCTACAGCGCTATATTTCCGTAAAATGCAAATCAAGCTGAACAATACATTAGGTCCTAAGTGACATCGACTTTCAACTTCCACACAAGCTGCTGATTAACCTCACCGGCTGTTTTTTTAGTAGGGGAAATGCAGGTAATGTCGGCCTAAGTGTCCCTAATTTGGGCCCATACATAAATTCAGCAATCGACTAAATTTTCAATAGCAACCAAAAATATCCATTAGTATCATCCCAATAACGCGTTCATCTAGATAAAATTGATAAATAGCAGATTTTTAGCGATGGGCCCAATCTTAGATCCATAGGCCAACATTTGAGACATTTCCCCTATATGGCCATTGAAATAGCATCCTTCCCAAGTAGCAATTGGGGTTTTATGAGGGTTCTGCAGACTATGATTTAGACTTGTAGCATGCTTTAAAAAACTTGCAATGTTACTTGGGTTGTTGGTTGTGATGAAAATCGAAGTCTTCTGGCCACAGCTGCAGATTCCCTGCCAGATCATCAGCTTACCGGCAAACTTGTTCGCGAGAACATATTTATATTTGTTGGGAAAATCTCCGCGACCCTTGGCAACATAAAACTTCTGTCCCGGAAGCTGTTGGATGCCTCCGTTGAATTTGGTCAGCACTTAGTCAAACAGCTTTCAGGCCCGCGTTTTGTGCCGTAATGTGTTGCCTTACGGTCCAGGTTCGGGTGCTTAATAGCCCGATACTTGAAGAAACCTTCTCGAATGCGTATATTCCAAACTGTACTGCGAACAGCACCGATTTTGTTTGCCACATCCACGTCCGAAAGTTCTGGATTCGTTCTGAAGCCTTCATGACGTTTTGACGCAGTTTCCTGTTCACTGTATCGCTTCGACGCCTTGATTGCACCTTCCGCGAAACATACAAACGTTCATTGAAACGTTTAAGCATTGCATAGACGGTGGTTTTGGTACCCGACCATGTCAGATTTTCATATCTTGTGTGCAGAAAAAAATCTCTTATTCTCCCGAGTGGCAATTCAAAAAACTTTACTATACTTTTTAAAAAATTTGCACAGGATTTCAAGAGAAAGACATTGTAAACAAATTTCTGACAGAAGATTCCAGAACCGATCATTAGGAGTGCTGTACCGAACAAAACGAAGCCACAGAGAACAGAGATCCAAGCTTAAACAAATTTCTCGAAAAATTGTGTGTAGGAATTTAAATTAAAATACGTTAGAAACACTAGCGCCGCCATACGGAATGTTGCGACTCCAGTTATTACTGTTTGAGATTAATGAGTAAACTGAACTCAAATTTGAGTTGATCTTATTAACCGTGTATCCATCCGAACTGTCAAATAAGTTCAAAACAAACAAGACAAAACAACGGAAATCAATCGAGTTTCTGCGGAACCATTATTGTCGAATAAAAAACTAAGCGGTGAAATGAGGCTGTGAATCAAACTGTCATCATGTGAGCAGAATTGGTCTGTGAACTCGATCGAATCAACAGCTGGGAAAATCATCGTCGCAAGCGGCGATGTGTGTCCTGTGCGAGCGCAGTTGGTATTCTGAAATGAAAAGTGACCTGAAAACAAATTACTTCAAGTTAAATTGTGGCTGTTTCCATACCCGCCGTTGCCTTCCGCAGTAACATGCAGGATCAGTAAATGCTCTCGATTGGTCAGGTTGCTTATCATTTGCTGCATGCTGCTTTAGGGTTGTTTCCAGCCATTCCTAGAAATCCGTGTCATTTTCGATGAATTCCATTTCATCCGAAAGAGCACTATCCGAATCGTGCTTGGCATCAAGATGTGTTTCCAAAGAGTTATTGTTTTGCTTGCCGCTGTTTTCATAGGGAACACAAGGTAGAAGCCTAGTGGAATACAGATTGAACTCCGCAATTAAACCTCATTTAAAATCAGAAAAATGTGGTAAGATTTGAACACTGCTTACCCTGCATCAATTATTCCAGGAATTCGAAAAGTCTCCGAGGGAAGTGGTTGGAACATAACTTTTTCGTTGCAAGCGCTTGGTCTTCACGTGAGAAGAAAATCTCCTGTAGTTCGGGCGATC